CTTTGGCTTTGATCCAGATCCTGAAAATAGTTTTTCTGGTCACTGAATATTTAGTGGCAAGCTGATTTAGAACACCATGTTGAGCTATCACCTCCCCATAATATGTTCATGTTGCACTGATTAGAATTTCATCAACTATACTCTCTCGTTCACAGTTTTGTAGTCTTCTTGCTTTGATATTTGAGCTTTGGCCGTTTGTTGGTGTGTGCAAGGCTTCATTTATGGCAGTTGGTGAGGAAGGACCATTCACTGCACCTGAAGACAACTCTTCATTAATGGAAGCTGCAGTGGGGGAAGAAGCTGTCTGGGCGCCACTGCTGTTTGCGGCCATAAATGCTGCGTGAAGTGTGTGATAGTGTGTAGTGAATTTTTGGCAGGGAGGGAACATTTGGAATGTGTAGTACGAATGGATACTGTTATGAACAATGTAAAGTTTTTACCATCAGTAACCCCCCCCCCCCCCCCCCCGTCGCAATTCCTTTCTCCTTTTGCTATAAATACTTTAGGGGCACTTTGGAAAAGTCAAAGCATTTTATAACTTTTCTTAAAATCCGATCCAAGTCAAAATGGGACTAATTTTCCGGGACGGAGGGAGTAGCAAGTGAAATACCAGCCAAAGATGAATGCCAATGTATATTTTGATGAGTACACAGACATACCCTGCCACCCGCATTTATAAACTCAATTTTATTTCCTGCACAACATTAAAAAAATCCTATCAGAAGCTCTGCTGCAAAGTAATTTGGTATTTCAAGAATTGATGACTGCAAATTAATCCACATATAAATAAGCCAGTGGATTTAATCTAGTACAAGGTGGGGCCAAAAATAGTTGCACGGACAATGACCTAGAAGGCAAGGTAAGTAGAACCAACTTGAAAATTCAGGTATACATACTACATGAAAGAAGCCATCTGAAATAACACCTCTTTAGCAACTAAATGGATATAAAAACTACAAAAAATACTTTTTGATTAACAACAACTATCATCAACATATGAGCAGTATTCTTTAGTAATAGCCGGTTCAATTGATCTGTAGGCTGTACTCAGTGAGGGGGGGAAATGGATAGCCATGACCCTATAAAACAATGGAGCATGAGTCGGGATCCAAACCATCAACAAAAGCTTTATCCTTCTTTTCCCGAGAATGGTAAATCCAATTACTAGGAAACTGATCGCTCTCTGCTTCTACTTCAACAACTTTTTCAATAACTTGTGAAAAAAACCTTTTCTGTTAAAAAAATCATAATTGTGAAATTATCTTACCGTTGACTTTTCCAGGCTTTTTGCCCCACCTATAATGGAATAACCATTCACTAGGGAAGTGGCAGCTATCCGCATCAACATCAACTGAAAACTCTGTAACCTATGAATATGATCTCAAGTGTCTATACCGCATAAAAAGGGAATAAAAGATATAACTAATTGACTAAACATTAAAAGTAAGAAAGAAACCTCTTTTATGCACTTCAGTAGTGATTCACAACTTTCTTTGGACATGCTTGAAGCGATCTGCATTGGATGAACTCTTGCCTGTCAAATTGAACAGAAACATTATGAGACAATGTTTTGGATGTGACCAACTATAAAAATATGCAACAGATTGGCTTAAGGGAAGGGACACATGACAACAAAAGAATGATACAATTTGGCTAGAACAAGAGCTATGAAGCAGGGATACTTTTAAATAAGCGAAGCATCTTGAGAGGGATCATGTTTTGCTTCAAATAATCTATGGTAGGAATATTATAGAAACTGATTGCAATATCACATATAATCTGATACGGCCCATTCTGGACACTGGAGCAGCCAACTGGTAATTGCAAGGATTTGATCTGAAATGGCTGTCTTTCTTTTATATTCAGATTCAACACGTATCATGGTAGCCAATAGTTGAATAAAGAGTCTGATTTCACAACAACACATGGGTATTCTCATATTCATTTTCATTTACATCAATGAGATGAATGCAACAAGCATATCAGGGTTTGGTGTGAGAAGAAAAAGTTGGTTGCTACTTGTGAAGGTCTAAAATATCAATCAAATAGAGAACAAGAAAAAAAGCAGACAGGTAAAACTGTAGAGAAAAAAACGTGTGGACTAGCGATGAACAAAAGAAAGTAGTGGGCTAGAGAGCGGACATATAAAGTTCTAGTGCTATAGTCGTGTAAAACACTCAACATTTCATTATTTTATTTTAACTAAAAGCTTCATATATATACCAATGAAAAGCAAGTCTTTTTAGTGAAACTACTTAAGAGAACAAACTTTTGTAGCAAAATGATCCATCTTTTGCATAACATTGAAGACATAAGATCTCAACGACAAGCCTCCCCTGTGTGAGGTATAAGCTTTTCATAAGTATGATCTTAATCTTGTTAAAACATTACAGACAAGGTTGATGGTAGAGAGAAGAAAGGCCCACTCACTTGATATAGCACCTCATCTGCAATCTAGTTGGCAATACCAGATATAAAACCCTGCAGAAACAATGCCATGTCAAAGATTGATGCAGTTGAAAATGAAATATCAGCATTTCTACATGGAAAATCTGCAATATAGTGCTTACATCATGACCTCCAAAAAGCGATCTATTCAACTCCAACCTAGGAGTCCTTTCATTAGAACAAATCTTGAAAATGGAGTCTTTTAACCAAGTAACCCTAGCAAAATCAAAGTCCATAAGATAAGTGATTCCTTGCTTTGTTTCACAATGCGTACAGAATTGCAGTCAAAGACTTTAAATCGAAAGAATTTGCTTTCAAAGACAAGCTCATCCGTTAAAATGGGAGCAAATAGTAAATCACCTAGAGCTTTTTTCACATACCTCTGCCTCCCACCTTCTAAGTGAGCTGAGCTCCCATGTCGCAAGTGGAAGGGCTTCCATAGCTGCCAATTCGAAGGCCAGGGATTCTGGCTATGACCACTAATCGGAGTTGTCCAAAAATTCCGACTAGCAGATTGGACCCAGGGCTTGTTCCATTCGCGTCTCTACAGCCGTTGCGCCTGGTTGCCGGAAGCTTTGCACCGCACTTGGAAATCCCCTGGCTGGTTCTAGACGGCTCAAGGTTGGACACGACGAGAAAGCTTCGTCCATGGAGGGTCACTGTAGCGGTGAAATCCCCATCGCGAGTCCATGAAATTGCAGAGACGAATTGTCCATGTACACTTCCTATCGCAAGGATGATGATTCGGCGCCGATTTGGTAGTAATCGATCGGTAGCCCCCTTGCCGTCATAGCCCCCTCTCCTTTTGAGCAACGAGAATGGCTCACTCTCTGGTAGGAGTGCTAGGGTTCGAAAGAAATTTTAAGAGACCAGAGAAATTTTAGGTGTTAAATATGACAAAATAATGTTAAAAGAAAATAAAATAGGGTGTGAATGTCACTATCTGATATTGATATTATTGTGTCAGAAACTAATGACACATTTACATCGTAAAAAAGATATGTCGTATTTTCGTGACACTTTATTAAAAAGTATCACTAACAAAGTGTCACTATAAGCTCGTTTTCTACTAGTGGAGGGTGAAACCTTGGATCGCAAAGCTATCTTCCTAGTGGTGTGCACTCTCCTCACGCACAGAATGGTCAAATTTCCAGTGTTTCGGGACCTCATGGCTTCCATATGGCGCCCTGAAAAAGGGATTTCCATTAAAGAGATTGATGAAAAAAGGTACTTGTTCACTTTTTACCATATTGTTGATATGGAACGTGTTCTTGGAAGTGGCTCGTGGCTCTTTGAGCAGAATTTGCTAGTACTCAGGGAAATTAAGCCAGGAGACATTTCCCTTTGGGTTCCTCTCAATGAGGCTGAATTTTAGGTATAGGTACATAATGTACCTTATGGTTTTATGAACTTAGGGGTGGCTAAACGAATTGGTAACTTTATTGGCAAATTTATCAGATTTGATGAAAGTCAGTTTGAAGAAAAATGGGAATCCTATATGAGAATTAGGGTTTGTATAGGCGTGGGGAAGCCATTGAAAGTAGACACGACTCTTAGGAAAGGATAGGGAGTAGGGCACTGGGCGGACTTTAAATACGAAAAACTCCCTAGTTTTTATTTTGCTTGTGGTGTCATTGGTCATGCTGACAGATACTGCCCTTTGGTTTATGAATGTGAGAACAACGTTTTGGATAAACCCTATGGGGTAGGACTCCGAACGGGAGGGGGGAGCTCGCCCATCGGGGGCAAAAACTGGTTGGTATCAGAAGGGTCTTCAGGTGGGAGAGGCTCAACTCAGAAGGACAATATTCAAGGTAGAGAAAATGAAGGAGTTGGAAGGCTTGGGATAGGAAAGCAGAACTGGGTCCTCATTGTGGCGGGCGTCAACAAGTCTAGAGCTGAAGAGGATGAAGTAGCAGCCACGAAGGAGATTCCCGGAGAACAGAATCACATGAGAGTGTGGGAGGAGCAACATGAAGATACTGCGGGGACAACATGGCACTCAATGATCCAAAAAACAGAGAGGGGTCGAGTCTTTGCCATCAGACCCGCCGAGAGCTCTGAGCCTCTGAAGACGCACCATGCTAGAGAAGGACAGTGGAAGCTCCTCGAGATATTGAGGGTGCAGCTGAATTTCTACTATTATGTTTTCTTTTCTGTTTTTTTTTTATTTGGTCAGACTATTTTTGTTGTTGTCGTTTATTTTTATTCTTGCCAAACTCTTGCATTAGGATTGAGCCATGAGAGGTCTATTTTAACCATGTTAGGCTCATTTAGACCTATTATAGGAAAATTGAGTGATATTGCTTTTTCAGGGTGACTAACTATCTTTTTGTTAGACGTTAAGTCTGGTTCAAAGGTCAGCGGTTAGAAGTGATCTTTTTATCTTCTTGATCCTACTATGAATATTGTGATATCAATATAAGCCGACTTTTTCCAAAGAAAAAACAACTTTACATGTAAACTTAGCATTAAATAAAATAAAGTTTGTTCGTAAACTTAGCATTAAATAAAATAAAGTTTGTTCGTAATATTATCATGTAGTTATTGAACGTAAATGAAAATGATCCCTTTTTCTGGAACAAGTGGAAACGTTAAGCAGCTACGCATCCCACACGCCCGCCACTCGTTTCCTATCCCTCCTCCTCACACAGCGGGCGTCCACGCCGTCGTTAAACCTATCTTTCCTCCCACTCACCTTCACACAAATACACATTTTCCTCCCAATTCACCTTTACACAGATAAACACAATTTTATAAGAGAGATTTGAAGATAATTGAAAAATGGCGATTTTAATGATACTGCTAAGCTTCATTTACCCACCGCCTCCATCTCTGTACATCACAGCCATGTCTGTCATAAATTTTGTAGCACTGACTAACGCAGGGTTTAAGGAGACGAGAGGAAAGAACATGAACTATTCCAAGTTCTATAATGCTGGATCGTCCCAGAATAAGGCTAAAATCTCAAGTAGAAAAGGGATGTTCGTGATCTACGCTCCTGCCTTTGTTGCCGGTCTTGCTTCTCTTTGGATCTTCCGCGAGGAAGAATTTAGGTTTCGTTTGGTCTCTGCTGTTCTTACCGTCCATTTCTTTAAAAGACTCCTTGAGGTACTGTTTTCCCTGTAAACATATTTTCTGGCTTATTTCCATTTCTACTGTCTTCATTGCCCGTGATTTTTCTTTTCTCAACTATTTTAGAATTTTATGCTTCAAATTCTCCAATTTCACAAGTTTTCTTATCATAGCATATACTCTGTACTCTGTATACAGTAGTTATGCTATATTCAGAAAAGTGCTCTTTGTATTTCCCCATTTGTCTATTTCCACCACCACTTTACCTTGTTTTTAGCACCATTAATGTACCCACAAAGTTAGGTTCTAGAAAGACTAGAATTAAGATACTTACTACTAATAGCATACAAAATTGGAAATACTTATTATTCCTCTTGTTAAATGGAATGAGTACCCTCCATGAGAACTTATTTATGACCAAGTCCTGAAGTAAGTCTAAACTTAAGTCTCACCGGGTATGGTGTTCTGTTTTTCTGTTTTCTATTTTACATTCCTTTTAGGATTATCTCAAAGTAAATCTCGAATTTCTCATTTTTAGCAAGAAAAATGTGGTGCATTACTTTGTTCTACTCCAACCTCAATCACAACTTTCAATTTTCAACCATTTTATGATAGAGATCCAGCTAGTCTAAGCAATCAGAATAGAAGATTCGGGAGAGTATATTCTAGAAGGCCTAAACTAGACTAGCGGTTATTAGTTAAAAGTTGTTAAGTAACTAATAACTACCTTCTGTTTGTAGAAGGATATAAATAGAATAATTCTGCTGTAGGATGGCAGGCTGTTTTTAGACACATTGTCTGGAACTGGGAGTTGGAGTTTATCTCCTTCTTGGGAAAGGCTGTATACGACTTACCTTCTGTGAATGAGAATTTGTATTCTTACCTTGTTCTTAGCTGTATTGCGATAGTTACTGAGTTGTGGAAGTCGTATCATTGGTATCAGAGACTGGTTGCCGTGGTGAATGGTTGGCACGAGGAAGAAAATGGAAGGGAGAATGAATGACGTTGAGCGAGGTCAACGTGAGATACAAACGAGTATGGAGAATCTAACTGCGAATATTGCAGCGATGCAAACTGCGATGCAAGCTAGTATCGCTGAATTACAAGTTCAGATGATAAATCGATCTCGGAGTCAATCGCGACGATCGAACAACTCACAGCGAACAACTCATCAGAGGAATCCGCGAGAAGAAGATAGTTCGGATGATGCAGTTAACCATTCCGTCTCGCAACACAATTACGAACCTAGACGGAATCATAGAAATCAGAACCATACAGCAAGAAAGATTGACTTGCCCCTATTCAACGGGAAGGATGTTTCTGGTTGGTTGTTAAGGATGAACAGATACTTCAGATTGAATCGGACAGAAGAAGAAGATAAATTGGATGTAGCGGTCATCGCATTGGAAGACCAAGCTCTCAGCTGGTTCCAATGGTGGGAGGGACAGGCGCAACATCTGAATTGGGACTTATTTACACGAGCGTTGACCAAGAGATTCCAACCTAACTTGGTTCAGGATCCTTTGGGGCCTCTATTTAGTCTGAAACAGAAGGGATCTATATCCGAGTATAGAGATCTATTTGAGACAATTATTGCATCCCAATTTAGTCTGAAGAAGTGTTGAAAGGTGTGTTCTTAAAAGGGCTGAAAAGGGATATTAGAGCAGAATTGAAGCTCTATAAGACCAGGACACTGGCTGAAGTGATGGATAAAGCAACATTGATTGAAAACAAGAATGTGGAGGCAGTTTTAATGAAGAATAAGGAGGAAAACAAGAAGAAGGGACATGGCAGAACTATCATTCAGGGTCCAGGACAGAGTTGGAATGAAAATAACAAATGGAGAAGCTATTCAGGACCTATGAGAAACTCCAGTACAGTAAACAAAGGGGTCAGTGAAATCAGAAAGCAGCCAGAAGTTAAAGAAGTTTCTGAAAAAAGACAAGGGACCGGATTATCTCAAGAGGAGTTGTTGGAGAGAAGCAAGAAGGGTTTGTGTTTTAAATGTGGTGAGAATTGGAGCAGAGGTCATGCTTGTAAGATGAAAAACTACAAGATGGTTTTGGTAGAGGATTCTGAAGGGGAAGAGAATTCAGAGATTGAGGGAGAAGAAACAGTAGAAGAACTCATAAATACTACTAATCAAATGGATAACAATAACATGCAACTCTCAGTCTTAAGTAAGGAAGGCATATCTTCCATGACCACTTTCAAGGTGAAAGGGAAGATGAAATGGATGGGTGGAGTGATAGAGGTCACTGTGTTAATAGACAGTGGTGCTACACACAATTTCTTGTCCAGAAATCTGGTGGAGAGCAAAAACATACCTTACAATCCAATTAAGGGTTATAAGGTCCAGATTGGGAATGGTGAATGTATACCCAATTGGGGCAGATGTTCATTGGCAGAATTGGAAATTCAGGGAGTACAGATTCAACAAGATTATTACATCTTGGAATTGGGAGGAGTGGATATAGTGTTGGGAATGGAATGGCTGACTGGTTTGGGAGACATGGAGGTAAACTTTAAGCATCAGATCCTAAAGTGGAATCAGGAAAGGGAAACATACATCATAAAGGGAAATCCAAATGCTAATCAAATGGAGGTGACTTTGAAGACTATGGGTCACATATTACATCAGGAAGGTGATGGATTCTTGTTGTACTGTGAAGGAGAATCTGGGAAACTGACTGATATAGATGTCAGGGAAACTGAGTGGGGAGAAGTGATAGCTGAATTCACAGAAGTATTTAGCTCTACACTACAATTTCCACCTGCAAGGGACTGTGATCATGCCATCAATATTAAAGGAGCAGAGATACCTAATATCAGACCAAACAGGTATTCATTTGATCAGAAAAATGAAATTGAGAAGATTATTGCAGAAATGTTGAAATCTGGAATTATTAAACACAGCAATAGCCCGTATAGTAGCCCCATTCTATTAGCTAGAAAGAAAGATGGGGGCTGGAGGTTTTGTGGAGACTATAGGGCTTTGAATAAGGTTACTATTCCTGATAAGTTTCCTATTCCGGTAATTGAAGAGCTTTTGGATGAGTTAGGTGGTGCCAGAATTTTTTCAAAATTGGATCTCAAGGCAGGTTACCATCAGATCAGGATGAAAGACTGTGATACACATAAAACAGCTTTCAGGACCCATGAGGGTCATTATGAGTATCTAGTTATGCCCTTTGGGCTGACTAATGCTCCATCTACTTTTCAGTCCCTAATGAATGAGGTTCTAAGGCCTTTTCTGAGAAAATTTGCTTTGGTGTTCTTTGATGATATTTTAGTCTACAGTAAAACTAAGGAAGAACATAAAGAACACCTAAGAAAGGTTCTGGGAGCTTTGAAGAAGAACCATTTAGTAGCAAATCAAAAGAAGTGCTCATTTGGCCAAAGACAACTGAATTATCTGGGACATATTATTTCAGAAGATGGTGTGGCAGCTGATCCTGAAAAGATTGAAGCTATGAAGAATTGGAATGTCCCTAAAGATTTGAAGGAACTCAGAGGGTTCTTAGGTCTGACTGGGTATTACAGAAGGTTTGTAAGGGGATATAGCAAGATTGCTGCTCCTCTTACTGTGCTTTTAAAGAAGGATGGTTTTATATGGAATGAGATGGCTACTGAGGCTTTCCAGAATCCGAAAGAGGCCATGATTTCCTTGCCAGTGCTCAGAGTACCTGATTTTAATAAAATGTTTGTGATTGAAACTGATGCTTCAGGAAAAGGATTAGGGGCTGTATTGATGCAGGAAGGAGGACCTCTAGCATATATGAGCAAACAGTTATCTCCTAAATACTTGAATAAATCTGTGTATGAAAAAGAATTAATGGCTATTGTTTTTGCTATTCAAAAGTGGAGGCCTTATCTTTTGGGAAGGAGTTTTGAGGTCCATACAGATCAGAGGAGTCTGAAATATTTGACTGAGCAAAAGGTTATGGGGGAAGATCAACAAAAATGGATAGCCAAATTGATGGGTTACAACTTCACCATTAGATACAAACCAGGGATTGAGAATAAGGCAACTGATGCCTTATCCAGAAAATACACATATGCAGCCATATCTACTGTAACTTGTCAGGAGTGGGAGGGTTTGGAAGAAGAACTGGAAAAGGATCCTAAATGGGGGGAGACCATGCAGAAGATGTTAATTCAACCAGATAAATATCCAGATTATAAGAGGAAAGGAGGTTTACTCTATTACAAAGGAAGGTTGATTTTACCAAAGGGATCCCACAGAATTTTGATCATTCTCAAGGAATACCATGATTCAGCCATAGGGGGTCATTCAGGGTATTTCAGGACTATGAAGAGGATTTCCAATTTATTCTTTTGGGTGGGGATGAGAACTGACATCAAGGATTATATTCAAGGGTGTGACACTTGTCAGAGGAATAAATATCAGGTCTTAAAGCCTGCAGGATTGCTGCAACCTCTACCCATACCTGAACAAGTGTGGACTGAAATTAGCATGGACTTTATTGGAGGTCTACCAAAATCACAAGGAAAAGACACTATTTTGGTGGTGGTTGACAGATTGACAAAGTTTTCACATTTCATACCATTGGCACATCCCTATAATGCCAAAGGAGTGGCTGAAATCTTTATTCAAGAGGTAGTGAGAATACATGGATTTCCAAAATTCATTGTGAGTGATAGAGACAGCCTTTTCTTGAGTTCTTTCTGGTCAGAGTTGTTCAGATTGGCTGGAACAAAGCTCAAATATAGTACTGCCTACCATCCACAGAGTGATGGGCAGACTGAAGTGGTGAATCGTTGCCTAGAAACATATTTGAGGTGTTTAAGTGGGAAGAAACCTAGGCAATGGGTTAAATGGCTTCCATGGGCAGAATATTGGTTCAACACTAACTATCATAGCTCTTTGAAAAGCACTCCATATCAGGCTTTATTTGGACAATCACCTCCTGCTATCATTAGAGGTGATGTCAGTATAACTTCAGTAGATGAAGTAACTAAAACGACTGCCGAGAGGAATGGGATGTTGAATGAACTAAAGGAGAATTTGGCCAGGGCACAAAATTTGATGAAGCAACAAGCTGATAAACACAGGAGGGAAGAGGAATTGGAAGTGGGAGATCAAGTCTTCTTAAAGATACAACCTTATAAAATGAGAAGTTTGGCCAAGAGAATCAATCAAAAGCTGAGTCCCAGATTTTATGGCCCTTATGAAATTTCAGAGAAAATAAACAAGGTTGCTTTCAAATTAAGGTTGCCGGAAGGAAGTAGAATACACCCTGTATTCCACATATCCTTGTTGAAGAAGGTGCTGAAACCCACTGTAGCTTATCAAAGCCTCCCAGATTGCCTCACAGAAGATTGTGAGTTGCAAGTGAGACCAGAAGCTGTGAGAGACAGTAGGCTGAATCAGGAAGGGAAGAAGGAGGTCCTAGTGCATTGGCAGGGCCTTCCTGATTTTGAAGACTCATGGGAGGATATTCACATGATCAAAGATCAATTCCCTGACTTTCAACTTGAGGACAAGTTGGTTCTACAAGGAGGGGGTATTGATAGAGATCCAGCTAGTCTAAGCAATCAGAATAGAAGATTCGGTAGAGTATATTCTAGAAGGCCTAAACTAGACTAGCGGTTATTAGTTAAAAGTTGTTAAGTAACTAATAAGTACCTTCTGTTTGTAGAAGGATATAAATAGAATAATTCTGCTGTAGGATGGCAGGCTGTTTTTAGACACATTGTCTGGAATTGGGAGTTGGAGTTTATCTCCTTCTTGGGAAAGGCTGTATACGACTTACCTTCTGTGAATGAGAATTTGTATTCTTACCTTGTTCTTAGCTGTATTGCGATAGTTACTGAGTTGTGGAAGTCGTATCATTTTATTAATAATCGTGTCAAACAAAAACACACACATACAATGGCATCTATTTGTTCAAATATTCAATCTAATTGTTTGTTTAATGGTGACAATTGAGACTTGTATAGATGTGCCTATTGAAACCACAAATGTATAAATAGGATACAAATTCCTGTCACTAGTATGATGTTCATACCTTTGAATCTCTCTTTTTTTGTTCTAGAATAACATTCTTTTAATGAAACAAAATCCCATCACATTCTATGATGTTATACATTAACGCTAACTCCTTTTCCAAAAGTTTAGTTTCACCAAATCTTGCAAAACTATTTTCAGCACACAATATGGTGGAATGGCTTCTGATTTTGGGCATGTGTTGGAGTGACTTTTTACTCCAAATTGGAGATTTAATGCAGGGTTGGGTTAAAACCCTCCCTGGCAAGAGCTAAATGCAAGAGGTTTATCGAGTTATCAGAAATAAATAAGTTAAACATGCACTAAAACCATCTCCAATGCTACAATGTGCATGTTGCATATGTGGCATGAGAGATGCTTAATGTGTACCTTGTATATGTAGCATGAGAGCGATAAGACGCAAAAGAATAAATTCATGATACTTCCCTCTCCTTCTTTCACTGTCGTGTGTGTCTTTGGTAAGTTTTTCTCAATTATGCCAACCACAATGTCTATATTTAGACATTGTACTTGACATTGTGAAGAAAAACTTGTCAATAACGTATAAAACCATTCGAATAAGGAGAAAGATATTCTACTTATTATTTTTTATGTGCTTATCTCTCTCATGACATGTGTGCACCGTTCACGTTTTTGAATGGGAGATGCTCTAAGACTTCCCAACATTGACAAATTCAAACAATTTATAATTCTACCCCCTGAAACTAAGTTATTTAGCTACGCCACAAATTTATAACTCTCTTCACAATTAAATTTATGTTTTGACCTTCTTATCAAATTTTGTTTACCTAGACAGATAATAATTGAGAAGTGATATAATTTTATGACTTAAAAATACTTTTGAACACTTTCTATATGTATACAATCTTAAATCTTAACAGCCAAATGTTGATTTTGAAAATCATGAAAGTCAAAATATGAACTTAATTATGAGCAAATTATATCATAGGATCAGCGCAACTGCGCAACTTCCACAAGCTGTGGGGCTTCGTCCATCCTAGAACGACATAATTGTACGTTTAAAAGATTTCTCTGATTTCTTCTTCTCTGTTTTTCTTTTCTTCTCCAATTCTCTTCTTCTTCATTAGAATGCTAAAAAACAATCAAGATTTTACTCTTCTTCATCTTCAATTTAAATTACGAACCAATCTTGTTTTTTTCTCTACTAATTCACAATTAGAGTTGTATTAATGTAAAACAAAATACATTGCCTTATACTTGTATTTGTATTTGTTCATATTTGTATTTGACAAGTCTGTAACTCTTGTTGGAGATCTTCCATATATTTTCCAATTCATGTGGTTTATATTTTGAATCTAACTAAGTTTACTTTTTTGAATAAGTTACTCCTATAAAAGTACACTATAGGTACATTTTTTAACATACGAAATATGATTACTCTCTAGCTACACATACGAATAAACAATTTAATACGGAGTATTTGGTTAAAAATATGATTGATAAGGCTTAGCCAATAAGGCACTTTATTTCTCCCCCCCAATATTTCAAATTGGGATACAACATTACTTTATTAAGTCCCCCTTTTAAAGGGCTAAACATCAAATTATAATTACCACCACGCCCTCTAATCCCATTGCATAACAGGTAATGTGTGTTCACAAATATAGTGGCAGTGTGGACGTGGAAACAACCACTGTGATATCCTTGAGTTACTTTACAGGCACGGTAAACACATTGTATGCTCAGCACCTCAGCCATGAATTTCCAGAGCCACAAATTGATTTGAAAACCGCCGGAGTCGTCATCTTTCTGATCGGCATAACTGGGAATTTCTACCACCATTATCTTCTCTCTGCCTTGAGAAGCAATAATGGTGAGAAGCAGTACAAAATACCCCATGGTGGGCTGTTCAGTCTTGTGGTTTGCCCACATTATCTTTTCGAGGTTTTAGGGTTCATTGGGATTTCGTGCGTTTCTCAGACATCGTATGCATTCATGTTTGCTTTGGGCACAGCTTTTTATTTGATGGGGAGGAGTGTTTCCACTAGGAAATGGTATCTGTCTAAGTTTGAAAACTTCCCCAAGGATCGGAAAGCAATGATTCCTTATCTTTTTTAGGTATTTAAAGAGAACCTGCGCCATCATGTATGAAATGTTTTCAAAGAAAAAAATGTATGAAATTGTCAAGTGTCTTGCTCTGGTTTTTACTTTGCACGATTGAAAATTTGAAATGTATGTTTTCATGGCATTGAGAAGTGCGTGGTATGATGGTACTTCATTGTATGTACTAGCACATTATGTGGTACTTTAGTTGGCTGAAATAGCCAAATGAACTCATGAACTAATGGTCAGTTTGGTACTGATTTTTTTGGGCTGAAATGATGAATTGTCTTGATACTTGATAGGAATGTGATAAAATTCATTTCACGAAGCAAGTCAAAGGCTATATATATTTTACTTTCTTTCATCATTCCCTTATTTAAAAGATATGCAAAATCTACCAATCAGTGCTTCCAAATGGGACATAAGGGGTTAGTGTTGTTAATATTGCAATGAACCTGTTCGGTGACCCTTAGTTATGCACGAATAAGATATAATTTTTAATTTTACACATTGAATTGTGTAGTGCACAAAATAAGTAATATTGAAGTTACTTTTCTGTTAAATTGACTAAATTTGGCGTAGAAGATCATTTCAGCTAGTTTTTGTATAACTTGCTCTAGTTTTTGTATAACTTGCTCTTTGTTTTAATAATAAAATATATTTTATTTTTTTAATTGGACAGATTCAACCAATTTAGTCGTTTCAGACAAAATTTTATTAATTTCACCACATAGAGCCAATTTATATGAGCTTTATTAAAGAATTAAAGAGCAAGTGAAGCAAATAACACTAAACCGATACCATGTTTGGTAAAACACTTGACTTTAAATCGTGATATGTGGGTGTAAATAATAAATAACCATTCTTAATTAATGAAGATTATAACTTATAAGTTACTAGCATAGTATCCGTACGTACGGAAAAAACACTTGGTTCATATATATTTTTATTCATGATCTAATTAAATATAAAAGTAGTTTTTTCTACAAATTTACAACATTTAAAAAATGGAGTCCGATAAGTGAATATCAAGAAGTATAAATCCATACAACAAATATTCAAAGTAAAAGAAAATCAAAATATAAAAAAATTGACACCACCCATTAGAATTTGCTACCTATTAATAATTAGAATTGTTGCTAACTGATAATGAAACATTGAACATAATTGCTAGAGTTTTGAAGAACTATTTTAATAAAGAGAACTATTTTAATAACATATAATCTCTAATGATTTTCTTTTCTTATCATGTTCTCCCTCCGTCCCTTTTTATTTAGCCAAATATGACTTTCAAGTCAATGATGTTAAGCTTTGACCGATTATATATTTATACATGTAGTATTGATAATATGAAAATGTTATTTGTTAAAAATACTATCATAAAAGTATAAATTATTAAGTTTGACATAAATATATTAGTTCAAATAATGGATCAAAGTTTATCATCTTTGACCTAAAAAGTCAGAGATTGCTAAATAAAGAGAGAATGCTAAATACAATCCATGTTTCTAAACACTCGGTAATGCCATATATATACATATTTATATGACTAAAATGTGTATAGGTAAGAATATTTCATCTTTATCTAGTGATAAAGCTTGATATTTAGTGATTTTCATAACATAGGTGATAATCATAGGAAAATGTTTTCTCATTTATTTAAAAGGTCATGAGAGAGAAAATATGGGAAAGAAATTCTCCCGATCAATTATTAGTCTGTTTATCTTATCTTATACCTAAAAGCACTACCCTGTGAGGAAGTGAACCCGGGGGCAGATCTGCATCGGTGAATATTATGGGATTTTCCCTCGGCCTCTTAGCTGGGGGCATATGGTTGACCTCCCCAACGTAGGGGGACTGTGCCCACTTCTTTCTCTTGCTCGTGGAATCTCTCCGAGTGTTACCTTCGGTGATCATGTGGATGTGACGTTTGTACTGGTGCTGTTGATCCTCCTCCACACTGAGGTTCCCGATTTCTCGCTTCTTCCCCTTCGGATCTCCCAAAGGGATGGTGTTAGGGTTGATCCAAGTGTTTGCCTTCGCCGGTGGCCCTTGAGGGGGCCCTTGATGCTGAGGGCTCCTCACAAATTGGGACAAATGACCCGCCTGTATTAGCCTCTCAATGGCTGCTTTCAGCTGATGGCAGTCATTGGTTATGTGCCCTTGGTGGCGATGAAAGCGACAATATGGTTCATTAGGGTTGATGACATATATCTCTGGGGTTGCGCGAGAGTCTCGCTCCACAAGGCCTCTTTCCTCCGCATAGTCCAAGATGATGATGACGGGATGGGTCAGAGGGGTGCGCGGGTGTTCCAGGAGGGTAAGTTGTGCCCACACCCTCTAATTGTTCTTGTAACCGCCCCCGGGTCTGGCTTGGCCATTCCGAGTTCAGTCGTAGTGTTGCGCCTCCGGGTTTGCTGGAGGGGGTTGTCCTCCAAGGCGATTTCTGCCATCATGCCTTTGTGCGGGTTCCGGATTTCGGTGGTCCTTCTCGATTTCCTCGGCCTTGGCATACCTGTCCCCCCGCTGAAGGGTCTTTGTATAATAGCGGGGAGGATCAGTAATAAGGCTCCTGGAGAAATTACCGTTCTGGAGGACCGTGTGGAATAGGGCCATCAATGTCCTATCGTCGGCGCCATCAACTTCGATCGACGCCTGCCTCCAGCGTTCTAGGAAATTTCAGAGGGGCTCCTCCTTCGGTTGCCTCACATTTAGCAAGTGGGAAAAATGTTTCCTTTACCGATGCCTCCCGGTGAATTGTGTCAAGAAACGATGGGCAAGTTCTTGCCACGAGTCAATGCTGCCTTCAGGCAGTCGGTTGAACCATTCGTATGCTGGTCCTTCCAAGGTGGAAAGGAACCAACGACACAAATATTCGTCCGACGCCCCCATCATCATCATGCTGTTTTGGTACCTGCTATAGTGTTCCTGGGGATCCGTCTTCCCCTCATAAGGCTTTATGGGTTGTCCTCGATACTTACCGGGGATCTGAGCTACCAATACCCTTGGGGTGATAGGCGTCTTCGTGCGAAGCTGGATGAGGGATTCGCACGATCCCTTGGCGAGCTTTCGCTTCATATCCTCCACTTGCGATAGTATGGCGGCGTAATTCGGGTCTGGCCCTGGAGTGGATGTCGTCGGGGGCGTCTGACGTGCCTCCTCGAGCTGGCGCCGGAGAGCCTCAATGATTTCGTCACTAGGATCCTTGTCTCCGCCCCAAGTGATTGCACGCGGGCCGATTGGGCCTTGTTGATCTGGTGCCTGGCGTCGTCAGCATGTAACAGTCCCTTGCCTTTGTCCCGAGGGGGACGCCTCTCGTCTGCCCTCGAGACGGATCCTCCGCTCTCCTGAGGCCTTTGGAATGCCTTACCACCGAGGCGGTCTTGGACCCCCCGACGATCTTGCACTCCTCCGAGCCTATCGAGGGCGGAGGTCCGGGGCCTATCCTTGTTCACGCCGCGCTAGTCCCGGGACTGGACCTCTTGGGACGCGGTGTCCTAAGCAATGACCCCCTTGTTGTTTCTGGTTCTTGGAACCGGGCATACGAGGGGGGGTGGAGGCGGCGGAACAGGAACGACGTTCTCCCCGATTTGTGCCTGGGGTGGCACAAATGCTCCGAAGGCGCCTGGGTTATGAGTGAGAGTGTGTATGAATGCTGAGAAGGTCGATTGTATGTCGATAGTCAGGATCTGCCTCGATCTTGGCCCTCTCGGCGGCTTCAGCGGTAGCTTGGGCAACCTCCCTGGCAACCCTCTCAGCTTCGGTCTTACCCTCAGCCCTGCCCTCGGCCTTGGCAGCCTCAAGCCGTCGGTCCACACCCTCCGTTCCCGCTCGGAGGGTCTCCTCAAGATTGGCCATCTTTTTGTGGAGGCCGACATTCTCCTCATCAGTAGTAGCTTTGGCCTTCCTCATTTGCTCATCCCTTCGGAGATGCTCGCACAGGCCCATATAGGTCTACAAGAAGAAATGACGATAAGGGTCAGACATACTACATACATTACACAACAACAAAAGCGAATAAGCATTAGAAGGGAGGAATGACTTACGGAGGCACCATTCAGGAGAATCCTGGAGTCGAGGGCGTCATCATCCATCCAGGCGAGGGCCATCCTATCGCCCGAAGGCATCACCTGGCTCATGAACACCGAGGGGCAGAGGGTGGCCTCGAGGATAGAGCTGCCCTTCGTCACGACTGCCTCCGCCTTCTCCCGGCCGAAGAAAGCCTCGTTGACAAACTCCTGAGGCGTGGGACCAGAGGCATGCCCCTCATCCAGGATGACCACGTCATTAGAGGCAGGTTGATTGCTGGAGTAAACAACCTTTTGTATCTTTGCCGAGGGCTCAAGGCCCTTCACCGCCTTTTTCTTCTTCTTGGCCGCATCAGCCTGGGAGCCCCCGACTCCAGCATCAACGACGGCGACTTGGGAAGGCTCCTCCCCTCCTTCTAGAAGAAGACATCCACCGGCTTCTGGACTGCCAGCTCCTTCATCTTCTTGCTATGGGCCTTGCCCCGCTGCCTCTTCAACGCCGCAAAAGACTGGACGTCCATGTTGTTACCTGCAAAAGATAAACAAATATAAGACCGAGGGGATAAAGGCAACAACAAGAATGAAATTATGAAAATATTTCTAAATACAAAATGCTAGAGTCTTTGGGAACCACCTCCAACGCTCTCGTAAACACGATCTATCATCGGATACTTCTCATCACTCTCCCCAAACAGGCAGTAGCGCCAGAAGCCCAGACTATACAAGTCGTCCGGGAGGGTGGCATCATCAATCGTCACCACGTCCTTGGACCCCTCTGGCTTAGCTGATATCTTCTTTGTCGACTTCTCAAGAGCGGCACTCCCCACTTTCGGATGCCGCCGTAAATTGTCTCGAAGGGGCGCGGGAAATGGATTCTCCGCCATACGGATGTAGCAGAAACATTCCCTCCATCCTTTGTGGGATGAAGGAACCTCTGAGAACAGCCTCCATTCCGGGACCTGTTGGAGATTGGCGAAACCTTCTCTATTTACGTGACCGCCCCGTCACAAGAGGTCCAGGGAGGGCTCCACATTTTTGGAGCGGCAAAGGGATAGGAAGCCGATGATATATGAGTGGCTATTGGGAGTCAACTGGCAGGGGGAAACTTTACGAAATTCAAGTACTCCACCACGAACGGATGAAGAGGGAACCGAAGGCCTAGTGCCACCGAGAGGACATGCATGACAAAGCAGCCTTCAGGGGGGAGACAACATGTCAGTGGGTCCTGGTTCTTCCACAGTCGCCGAGGACCCAGCATATAGTTGAGTAGCGTGGTAGTCAG